GTTTCCATTTTATTCTGCAAATGCAGCTTTTACAAAGCATAATTGTCTGATTAATTTCATAGGCTATTCCTTTATAAATGCTCGTATTATATTCAGAGTTAAAGATGACTTTCTGAACTTAGTATTTGGTGATGAGTTTCCTCAGCACTGATTTTGGGGGCAAACACCAGCAGCACTTTCAGTTAATTTAAAAATAGGCATAGTCTGTGATTTTAGCAATATTTGGACAATTTGTTGATGCGTTTTGTTAAAAATCAGATACCAGACCTTCCTTTTACTGTGATAAAATTAGGTACCTATAAAGTTTAACTCCATATCCCTGATGGTTTCAGAGTTTCTTCATTGTGATGTCATCTCAATGCAATTCTGAAAATGCAATTTCAATAACTAGAATATTTAAAGGGACAACAGTTATCAAATTTAATGCAGTCTAATTGCCTTTTATTGTAGCTGGCAATAACTCATGACAATCACAGGTATTTGAAGATAAGGAGCCTTGGATGATTGACTGATTGATTGCCATGTCACAAACAGTCTCACAGGACTGGGATAAGGCAACCAAAACTTAAGCTACCAAAATGTAATTGTTGTCTGGCTGGCTGATCTATAATGATTTGTCTTGTTTTTCTCTTTTCTTTCAACCACAGAGAAACTAGGAGTTTTTTCTACAGCATACTATTGTGCAACAGCAGAGGTCATTCCTGGATGCCAGCTGCTTTTTCTCTGGTTGAAGTTACTAATTTTTTTCAGTTACAGCCTTGCAGATATAGATACATAGAGAGATAGATATGGCAAAACTTTTTGTTCAGTAATGTCTGTGGTTTGGATGCAATTGGATCCAGTATTTAAAAGCAAAATACTCATGCAGTTGGATTCAACAGAGGCTCTTATTCTTAACCTAAATCTTGTTTGATAATACCCTCTGTCTCTTAGATATTTACAGTACCTTTCAATTTCTATTAAAGAAAAAATGTGACAGGAAGAGAATTAAGCCTGAAAAGTCCCATGCTTACATATGTGATTGCATTGTCCTTGAATTGTGATGTCTTATTTCATTGAGAGGGAACTTTATCATTTCATGTCTGTTTTGGTACAATTTTCATGTACATCTTTGGCCAGAATCCCAGTTAGTAATTCGAAAGCATTTCAGAGGTATAAGGTAGTTGTTACTTTTAAATATCACACATAGTTACTTTGTACTATCTTGATTGCAACAGTTTACCTCACACATTTGAAGTCTTAATCTCTTAAGGGACACCAGTTATCGAGGAAACTGGTGTGATGTTTGGACTGTATTTGGGAGTATCTGTATATGGAATGTATGGAATAGATGTTCAGTCACTGAATTTGGCAAATACCGAACACCAAGAATTTAAAGAAGGCTTAATCTTCACTTGTGCTGAGATTTCATGAATAGTGCATGCCCTCAGCTTTCCTGAGAACATTCAGTTGTAGTTGCAGAAATATGGGAACATATTCAAGGTGTCATCAGACAATATCCCTCGTGAAAACTGTTAGAAATTAATTTTCTTTACAATCTAAAATAAGATGGCAACTCAGCATTGAGGATTGCCTAAGGTTAAAAATACCCAAAAGAGAAGAGTTATGAGAGAGGGTCTAATGAATATTCCCTATATCCTTACAAAGGTTTCCAACAGTAATCCTCATAGCTGGTGCAAAAAATCTCTGGGAAAATCCTTTGCTTAAAAGCTGTATTTCTCAATAAAAGAGAGGTGCTTCCCACTTCATATATATGCAGTATTTGTACAGAACTGTACATCTAGAGAAGCAATAGGAAATAATGCTTATATCCCCAGAATACCTAGAAGACAAAGAAAAAAGAAGTATCTTGAAGTATTAATGGGTACGTTCTCTGATTGCTCTGCATGTTCTTTCATTCGCTAACATGCTTTTATGTCATTAAAAGATACTGAAAGATTTGTTTCTCTTCATACTTGTATTTATATATAATTCTACCTATCTGCAGAACTCAACATCTGTGTCACATAAGTATTAAAATTATTTTCTTAGTTCAGAAGTTTACATGCAAATTCAGCATAATATCTGAAGCATTTTCCCATCTTCTTATGCATATAGTACCTGTAGGGGATGGAGTGCATTATGAAGCAGGTGCCGTCAACCAAAGCCTATAAACAGGTCTGTCAGAATGAAAATTCATAGGTATCTATTGGTACCAATAAAATGTTTCTCTACAGCTGGGAAATTTATGGAAGACTAACAATTTCATTTCCACGGTACTGCACATTAAAAACTATAAAGGAGATGACTTGAAATAGAAGCATGGATCCTAACCTTACTAAGAGCTCCTGAGCTGCTCAGGCCAACTTTAGTAGTTAGCTGTGTGTTCCTTTCTGTAGCACTATAGTAAATTTACAGAGAGGATTAAAAAAAAAATTAGGATGCAAGAGAGAAATATTTAATGGTACATTCATAAAATACATCCACGTGAAGGTTATGAAGCTGTTCCAGTGAGTGAGAGGAATTCTGTTTTCCTTCTGTCATCCAAGTGGAAGTGAATTTGTTTCCTTCCACAACTATCTAAGGTTATTTAACTTGAATTAAAACAATAAATGAGACTTTTTTTACACAAAATTTGGTAGTTGTTTATACCTGAGTAATTCCTCACACACTGACAACACTGTTCAGCTGAAGGCTGTAATTTAAGTGTTTGATTTACAAGATGTATGAGTCTGCTTTAAGCATGGATCAAGATACTATTTAAAGCATTCTTACAGAACAACCGACTAGGCTCAGTGTTAGAGCCTTCTAGTTGTGGAGGTAAGGGCTTAGCTACTACTAATTAACTGGAGTAGCTTTATTAGTTATGAAAAACTGGAAATGCAAAAAGTCTGCACAGTTTTAGCTATGGTTTAAACATTGCATATCTATCTGAAAGAAAGCTATTTGGGTAATTATTTCTTCTTTTTCTCTCAGGGCTCTTTCCTTGAAACTTTGTGATGCCTTAAGTGTAACTTTTAATTTCTATTGACATTCTGTCCGAATGATAAATTAGACTGGGAAAATACATCTTTGTTGTCAAAACCCTTAATGTACTGTACCTCCTTTGTATACGTGACAGTAATAACTGTTTCTGTTGACCATTAAAGTAGAAAATAATTTGGTAAGGTAGCTGGTTTCTGTCATCTTCCTGACAGTAAAGTTTTAATTATGTTTGCTTGTGTGACTAACCTAGAGCTGCTGAAGTTGTTAGAAGTTGCTTCAAAAGTGCAGCTGGGATTTACTGGGCAAGCACATCCTGGCATATAAAGTGCAGCAGAAGATACAGAAAACATCGAGGGGAAAATAACCTGATTATGTCTGCAATGGTATATATCAGTAATGGTGTTAATGTAGGATGAAATCTAGCTGAAACAAGATTTATGGTCAACATATTTAACCTAGAACATGAACAGTTTCATCTAGAATATAAGCCCTTGCCAAGTATATCTTCAGCTCAGGACCACATCAGTAGGAATGGGTTGTATGTTCTGGGATGGTGTGTCAGGTCTGCGTGGCAGCACAGTGTGATGTGAGGGTAGTCCCACACTGCTTGCTGGGTGTAGGAGGTGCTGCAGGAGAGGAACTTCCCCATCTCCGGGGATAATGCTAAATTCTAAGTCAGCCTCTTCCATTTTCTATGCCACTGTTTATTTTCTAAGTTCATTCCAGTTTTAAAACACTATCGTTCAGGCTTTGTTTATTTTGCTTTGGTGCTGAGAAGAAGGAAGGGAAGAAGGAACTGAGAAATACCAGGATGTACTACTTCTACAGTATTACTTGTAGCTATTCAGCAGAAAGCTGGCAATGCTGTCGATTTAAATATTGTAGGGTTACAACAGCTTGGGACGAATTAAGGAAGACTGGGAATCTGGGATGTTTCATCTCTCACGTTGGACCATGTACTTTTTTTTTTTTTTTTTTCCTTTCATTGTCTTAGATATCTTTTAGGAAGGTACAGACCATCATAGCTACTGACCTTGACAGAAATTTTGGAATTTCCTATACTTAGGTTTTTAAACATTTACCAAATTTTGCCTAATAAGTATCAAAATTTTACTTTTTTTGCTCTGCTAAATGTATATGATTTCAAGTGTAAACTGATTGCAGTGAGGTTGAGTGGCATACAGAGTATTTTGAGTGTTGGAGTCCTAGCTTTGTCATTGAAAGAAGCAGACATTGCCAAGACTTCAACTGTCTTCTGAACCATGCACTTGATCATGGAACTGGACATCTGCAAGCTGCAGGATTTGATGGACCACTAGCACTATCTCCCATGGCACATGTAGGGTTCATGTATTTTACCTCTGAATTTGCTGTGACGTGAGCATGACAGCAACTACTGTCATTTTAAAGACCATGAGAACTAGGAAGCTTTCGTCTACAAATAGATATGTATTTGTCTCTCTCTGAGTGGCAAATGTACAGTAAAACAATCTTTTGGAGATTTAAAATGAAATGGCATTGTAAGACTATAGCTATTAGGAATTTTTTTGGATGTTCTTATAAAGGGTATTCTAGTAAATTATGTTTTAAAATGTTAATTTTTTTTTTTTTTTTTTTTTTTTACATGTTAGCTGAGAGTACTGCTTATTGCTTTGTTAGAGCGTGGCTGTTGTTACAGAAACTTACTGGCCATCTTGTCTTGAAAGCCATCAAATATTTTGCCATAGATTTAACTGATGTGGTTACAGGAACTGTATGATTGGGAATTGCGGATAGTGACCATTATAATCATAATATAAGATGATTGCATGAGGTAACTGTTTGCCTTACCAACTGCTTGTGGTTAGGAGCAGAGCTGTCTTCTGCAACGCATTTGCAATTTGTACTTTTTTCTTCATTGTTGACTTGCAGTATAGTCTTTTCTGCTGCTCCCAGGAGCAACAGGACTCAGTATTTCAAGAGTGAGGTTTTATATAAAACTAAGGTGCATCTTCCATTCTAATCTGTATTTGCTGTGGGTTTTTTCCCCCTTTCAGGAGGATACAGATCATAATTACTATACTTCAAGGACATATGGCCCGTATGATTCTACTAGCCGGGATTTGTGGGTCAATATAGACCAAATGGAGAAAGACAAAGTAAAGATTCATGGGATCCTTTCCAATACCCATCGGCAAGCAGCAGTAAGTCTTTATACATTTTTCTTCTTTGACATGGGTATTTTTCACCAGTGACCAACACAGCAGTATTACAAAGTATTGTGACTACTGTTCACAGAGCTTTATCTTTGAATTTTAGTTAAGCTGTGAAAGTCTGCACAGTGTTGCTATCAAATGATTCCAAGTTGCCTTTTTGCGTCTGCTGTAACAGTCCTTCAGAGACACCTTCACAGATATATTTAAAATTCACCTCTGTTCTTCAGGATCACAAACTATCAAACAATAAATTAATTGTGTTGCTGAAGTGAGAAGGAATTTTACCATTGACTTCAATAGTTACAGAACTGGGTTCAGGACTAAGTTGCTGAAGTTCAAGTCTCCCATGGAGTGTATCTGTGCACTTCCATTTTGTATGAGGTGTTACACATATTTTTTCTTTTGGGACAACTGATAAAACTCATGAGAATGTCATATAGTAACAGAAGTGATAGATGTGATCACCATTTCAGGATATCAACAAGTAAATATCACAGAGTGTAAATAACAGTCTTGTTTAACTTATTGTAATCATGCTGCCTGGTAAAAGGAAGTGAAATTGAATGCTGCGTGATTTACAGATTGTATTCTTGGGTCTCACTTGTGGCTGGAAACTGCATACACACAAGGGCCAATATTAGCACAAATTGAATACAGAAAATTGCATCGGAATTGTGGTTCTTGAGGTTCTTGTTTCATCCATTTGCCAACTTCGCTCCAACAAAAAGTTCTTGGGTTTTGCCTGTTTAAAAACAATATCCATTTCATGCCTTATTTATAGGTTGAACAGTTTTTAAAGATGCAGGTGTGTTTAGCAGTTTTAAAGCTGAGAGAAAATCCAAGTTTAATTCAGCTTTTCTCTCATTTTATCTGTTATCTCCCTGGTACCAGCCAGGTGACTGGCTCAGAGGAATGTAAGAGGCAGCAAGAAGAAATACGGTGGTATTTAGCTCAGAAAACAAAAAGCAGAGTGGGGTGATAAATCCACTACATGTGACTAACAGAGGGTCCAATACATAAAATATATTCCTCATAGCCAAAAACACTGTAAGGAGCCAGGGATAATGCAAATGCAGAGGGTTCAGGCAGTTATATATCTTTGGGGTACATTTAATAAAACACTGTATCAGGTATTTTCTTAAGACAATTTGTTTCTAACGAGGAAAAAACCTCAAGGGTACCTAAAAGTGAAAACCTGTATTATCTGCCTTGCCTTCTCCATCTGGGATTCTGGTGCTCTGTGCTGAGGGAGAGAATGGAAACATGCGAAAAAAATGTAATAAAAGAATTAAAAATACCTATATAAGGTAAAACATCTTTCCCTAATAAAAGTAATTTATGAGGTTTGGGACCTAAACATTAGTGAAATTCTTCTGAGAAATTTTAACCTGTTGTTTAATGATTAGTGAAGATGACACCCTTCCATGCCTTTGTTCTAAGCACTTTTGTTTCCAGCTGGATCCCTGAGATTATACACCTAAAAATGTCAATTCCAAGGGGGACATTTTGTTTAAGTTATTGACCTAGATGTTTAAAATGAAACACTGCTTTTGATCTGGGTGTGGGATCAGTGTGGATGACCATTCAGCATGGCAGACGGGAGCTTGGCAGCATGAGGTCTTCAACTGTTTCTCCCCAAAACCAAGTGGTTTAAGACTTTTCTGCTGAATGTCAAGTGCCCACTCTGCCTCTCTGTCAGCTCTAGCAGAGCTCCCGGTTTAGTACACTGATATCCGTCTCTTTTCATATGTACCCAAATATCCCGGACTGTGAACTCGAGTGACTGCAGCCATGTCTACATACTGGTTTAATCTTTTTCAGAGATTTATGTCCCTCTTGAAGGATGAAAAAGTACCAGTAAGTCATCATATAAGGCATTATATTTTATTTATGTGTCTATAGTTGATTTCTTGTATGTGTACAAGCAAACAACACCCATGTGTACCATACAACAAAGTTATTTAAGAGAGATGTGTTCTCTGTAACTGTATAACAATTGTAGAGTCATATATTCTGAGCAGAGCATACATAACTAAGCAGCAATCTCTTCCCTTCTCTTCCATAGAGATAAATTTTGCCATTACTCTTTAAAAGGGCATTTTGCACGTCTTTCTGTGACTTGGTGATTTACATGCTGATAATTTCTAAAGATTATTCTCCAACTTGGCAGTAGAACAAGGAGCTAAATTAGTATATGCTAAGTATTAATGATTTTTTTCCAATAACGTCTCAATTTGTGTGTTTTCCTTCATTTGGAAGTATGTAATCCTAAGAGTTTCCAGAAGCTGCCAGTTTGTTTTGCTTCTACAGGAAAAGTAATAATAAAGAGAGGATCCATGAGATTGTTTGGCTATATAAAGAGCATAGTCATTGTTTGTGGAAAGTAACACACAAATATTAATAGAACAAATAAAACATCTAACACTATAGGATTTATATCCCTAGTAGTGATTTTTTTTTCAGTATATTGCCACCATCATCTTAACTGTACAATAAAATTTTAGGTGTGGCATGGATGCTCAATGTGTTTAGATTAGGTATCTTAACAGTTGATTACTCAAACACTGAACTAGATACAGGATCACCTCATGCTTGAAACTCAGTTCGCTTTACTGTCAGTCCATTCTATCATCTATGCACAGAGAAAACATTTTTATGCCAGTGGGTTGAGAATTCTGATATTCTTTCTGAAAAATGAGGTATGCTTTCTAGTAGCAAAAGTAAAAACACATTTATTTCTAGTAGCTGTTACAATATTACACTTTAAAACATTCCTTGTTGGCTCTTTATTACAGTATTATGCTAAACAATTGTCTATATTAAACATTTTTACATTGTCAGAATTTAATGGATCATTTTTTGATTGAAGTCAATGGGAGACATATCTGGCTTGAGTGGGCATAGGATCAAGTCTTTATTGTAAACATTTTTATACTAATTTTTATATTATAGCAATTTAGGAGACTGTTAAGGGGGCAAATTTTTCTTTTAAAGCAGCCTAATGATTATTGTGTTATTCAGAAAGTTAATGCTAATAGGTAAAATGGACAATAGTGTATAAAGGAAAGAGGGAGTGTTTGGTCAGAAAATGAATGTTTTTAATAGTGTTCTTGGAAGTGATGTTTGGTAGAGCAAGGACATAATTTAAATGGGGTGCATACATAAACATAGCATACACCTCAGCAGTGAAAATTTTAGGACTTGGTAAAAACCCATTTGTTTAAGTTAATTCATGCGCTGTCTTTTGCATATGCCATTTTGATTAGAAATGTTCAGTTGTATATCCATATTTATGTATGTAGAGAAAAGGTCATTAGAATGTACTCAGTCCAATTAACACAATGCAAATGGATTTTGCATTCTAATTAAAAACATACGAAAAAAGCGCTAATAAATCCTCTCAAAATTCTGTCTTCTACTTAAGTGGAAAGCAAATCTAATTTAAAGTTACTGTAAATCTTCAGCTGTTAATTTCATGCTAAATAATTCTTTAAACTTTTCTGGTGGATTTAAATATAATCCTTCCTGAGAGAAGAAATACTCAGATATAATGTGAAAATAATAACCCAGGATAGAAATAAAGGTAGGGAAAATAAAGACAAAATGCACTTTCCCTGCCTTCCCTTTTTTTTTTTTTTTTTTTTTTTTTTTTAATATACGGACTGTTGCCCTTTCTTAAGTGGAGACATCAAAGGTTAAGGTTGAGGACAGTCACCAACAGCCCATCTTCACACCGGTTTTTACTGTAGTAACTCCTCCTAAATAACAAATAATAATGGGCTGCATACACAGTTCCTATTTGGGCTTTGGGCCATTATGGAAGTGATGTGGTTTTTATGGGATATTACATTTAAACAGTGAAAAGACCTTACTGGGATTTCAGCACTCCTTTCTGTCATGACTACCGATTTGTTCAGAGTTTAGCCAGGTAGCACACCAGGTGATAATTATGGGTGGCTACAATAATCGGTGAGCTTTGGGAAAGGAGTGGAATAGATGGGAAAGGAGAGAGCCATAGGCAGAGAGGGAAAATGAGTTTGAATTTGAAAGGTGCTTTATGGTGAGCTTAGGTGAGGAGAAGAGTCTGTTCTCCAGTTTACAATTCTCTGCTGTGGATTCAGCTGATAGAGGATAGTCACCTGTAGGTTGACAGGGGAAAAAAAAAGATTTTTCTTCCTTTTTTTATTTTGCAATAAGTACCTTAAGTAGAGTTTGTTAATACTTCTGTTGAATATTTCTTTATAAATCATTTCAGCTCCTAGTTAACAGTATAGAGAGGTGTGAGAACTGGTGCCATGTAGGTTTGACGGAGGAATTGCCTTCCAGTGATAACCCTTCATCAGATAAGGACCCAGGTAGCAGCAGGATGTCAGGGAGAGCACTTGAATCTGAAGAGGCGTGTGGCAGAGGAGGAAACCACCTGTAGCTGAGGGAGTGGGCATCCTGTAAAGCTTAGGTATTGCTAAGGCCTTAAATATTTATGGCTCCTCTTAAGAGGTTCAAGCAACATTTTTTTAAGGACAAACTCTACAAGTATTTATTAATTTTATTCTTATGAGTGGGTTATAATGTCTGCTGGTATATTTTAGTTTCTGATGTCTTCAGTTATGAAGATCCACTGCTTTTAGGTGTTTAAGTGCTACACAAAATTGTTTCCAGTTACCTATTGGCAATTCCAAATTAAGAATAGCAAGGCTCCAGTGAAAAATAAAAAGCAATGAAACAGATGTTTGAAGTGGAGGACAGTTCATTTCGTTTCCTCTTACCTTTCTGCACAATGTCAATTTTATTTTCTGGTGTTGTTCCTTTCAGAGAGTGAATCTGTCCTTCGATTTTCCATTTTATGGCCATTTTCTACGTGAAATTACTGTGGCAACTGGGGGTAAGTGGCTTTCTAACCATTTACTTTGAGTAATATGAGAAAAGTTTCTTGCAGCTATTTAAAAATACCTTTTTCCCCCTGTATATGTCAAAAGGTAAACTGCAGCTTTTATTTAGGAAATTTTCCTTTCCACAAGAAGAAAATTACAAAATATCGATATGATGAAAAACCTCCAGCTGGTCAAGTTGAACTGTTATAAAACCCTCTCAGTGTAAGACTTTATAGCATTAATCATTTTCTATTTAGGCATTTCCCCCAGAAATCTTGTGTGTGTGTCTGGAGCAGCTGCACTTGTAGAGATAGTACTGAAGCCAAAACAAGGACAGAAACTTAGGTTTTGCCTGCATGAGGGCAGAGGATTTACTATCCAAAGATAAGAAGTGCTGCTAGGAGTATGTAACTTGTCACCTGTAAGGCAAACCCAATGCAGTGCATTGCCTTGGTGTGATACGGTGTCTGCAAGAGTACCATAGTGTTCCTCTCCTCCTTCTGTGGGGTAAGATGGGAGGTATGGCACAGCTGGAGCTCCTGGTCTTGTAGCTCTGGGCACCACTGATGGCTCATGGTTAGGGTTCTCCCTCCCACTGCTGCTGGCTGCTGTTTGCACTGACCTCCTACACTAGGAACAGCAATTGGCCCATTCTGCTCCCCTCCTGCTCCACCTCCTTGAAAGACAAAGAGGACACCAGAAGAAAATGGAATTATATGGAAGACGAGAAATGAGAAAAAGGAGGAGGAAGAGTAATGGTCAAAAAATTGAAAACAGGGAGGCAGAGGGCAGCATCACAGAGAGCACGCCCACAGCATCCTCTGGTCCTTGAATGTGTCCAGCAAGTTCACGGACTCTGGCTGGTGGTTCTCTGCCTAGACGTGTTACAGGACAAGCAGACAGAAATAGAGGCCACTATCACCAGGACCAATCCTACCCTGTCCCTGGTCAAGGTTTCTCCTTCTCATGCTATGTGTGGTGAGCTGGCCAGCATCAGGGGATGCCCATGTCCCACTGGAGCTCTGAATGGGGAGGGTATGACTAAAAGATTAGGGAAGAATTGCAGTCAGTGTCCAACAAGACTAGAAGCTGGAACAGAGGCTTCTGTCATGCTCTGTGTTGGGATCTCCATTTTGCTACCAAAACAGAAGAATACAAGAGATGGACAGAGGTGAATAAAGGCTGATATTAAATGGTTGATTTCCAGTCAGAATGATAAAAAAAGGATGCACAGTTATGCGGTGACTTCAGTACTAGGGTTTTCTCTTCTTGATCAGCAATGACATTTTCATGCTGATTTGGATCAGATGAGCCATCAGCTACTGACTGGGATTTTGAGACTTGTCTGATTTCCATTCTGCTTTGCTTTTAGTTTCATTTTGGTGCTTGATCATTGATGCTTAGTTCTGTACTCTTTTATTAGAGGACCTGTATTTGATGGGGTGCCAAAATCCAGTGCATGATCTGTGTAGCATGAAAGAATGGGGTGGGATGGATCCTGCACACCTAAAACAGCAGCAGTGGGGTGTTGTGTTTTAACCCCAGACAGCAACTAAGCACCACGCAGCCACTCATTCAGTCCACCCCCACCCAGTGGGATAGGGAGAAAATCGGGAAAAGAAGTAAAACTCGTGGGTTGAGGTAAGAATGCTTTAATAGAACAAAAAAGAAGAAACTAATAATGATAATGATAACACTAATAAAATGACAACAGCAATAATAAAAGGATTGGAATGTACAAATGATGCACAGTGCAATTGCTCCCCCCCCGCCAATCGACACCCAGTTAGTCCCCAAGTGGTGATTCCCTGCCCCCACTCCCCCCAGTTCCTAAACTAGATGGGACGTCCCATGGTATGGAATACACTGTTGGCATGTTTGGGTCAGGTGCCCTGGCTGTGTGCTGTGCCAACTTCTTGTGTCCCTCCAGCTTTCTCACTGGCTGGGCATGAGAAGCTGAAAAATCCTTGACTTTAGACTAAACATTACTTAGCAACAACTGAAAACATCAGTGTTATCAGCATTCTTCGCATACTGAACTCAAAACATAGCACTGTACCAGCTACTAGGAAGACAATCCACCCTATCCCAGCTGAAACCAGGACGTGGGGACAGTGTTCATTCTGTAAATGTCCCCCTATTCTTACTGCTGAACTTAATTCCTTAAAACTTCACAAAGATCTCTCTTTCTCCAAGTAATCCTTGTGTGGTCACTCTGCTGGGCCTTCACTTTTAATGGAAGCCCTGAATTTTTACCACTGCTGTCACTAATATACTACTGTCATCAGTTTCCCCCATCTGTCCCCAAGGACTTGGGAGTGAAGTTAAGCTCCCAAGGAGAGCTGTGTAGTAGTAATTTGAGGGAAACATTTTTTTCTTCTGGTTTAGAGCATTTGGGGAATTTGGGTGTTTTGGGGTTTGTTTTTTGAAAAAAAAAAAAACCAAACACCAAAAAAACCCCACTTGTAAACATATAAGAATAGCTGCAGCTCTGCAGCACTCTTTTCTCTTGCTATTAATGGAACATTGAATGATAAGTCTGCTTTTCGTTTTGCTCCAGTTCTACTAAATAAAATAATATTGCTGTGAATAGATCTATGGATATTGTCAAGCTAAATAGGACTTCAACCTTCAACACCAGTCCTTTTACTATAGGCCGCTGACACTAGCACAAAGATATTCTATCTTTCATGTGACACATCCATAATTTTCAGCCTCAAAGTTAAGCATGGAAAAGTAAGATCTATTCAGTAATCTCTTTAAAAATATTATCTTGACAAAACTCAGTAACTGAAAGTCATCCTCTCGATCCAGGACAGGATGCAACCCTTTCTACAACTTTAAGCTTCCTAAAACCATTTAGCGGGAAAAGAAAGATCTATTTCTTGCAAACAAAATTTGCAAATTTTGTTACCATACGTCATTGGTGGTGCTGTGTGGCTTATAGCCTAGCAATAAAGGATAAAGAAAGGTTCCAAGTGCTTTTTGTACTGTATGGTCTACTATTTCTTAGTAACCAAGAATTTACAATGGTATTACTATTATTAGAGATCTGGAACACCTCCAGAGGTTATTCTGAGATCAAAAGAATGACAGAGTTAATGTGTACAGAAGTCCTACATGACAGATTTCCACTTCCTGGAGAGCAGGATATGATTAATTATGCTAATGATGACACTACAAACTGTTTTTACCTCCAAATCATAAATTAAATAACCTTGTTAAAAGGAAAGTTGAGGACAATGGCACATTAAATCCCTGTCACAATAAAAACGTCTACCCAAATGGTTTCTGCCATTCTTCATGGAGGGTGCATTGTGGCATAGTAGGGTTTCCAAATTACTTAAGATGAATTTGAAATTGCTGCAATGTTAAACTCAACTTTTTTTTTTTTTCTCTTTAACTAGTATTTATTTCCTCTTCTGAATGGTTTTGATGAGCTGATTGTGTTTAACTAAAGAAAGGAAGAGCAAAGAGTGAAAATAACTAGTTTGAGGGCTTTATTCACTGGTGTCCTTAGCTTGTATTTGACAAGGCTATTTAATTCATAACTAGAAGGTAAGACAGCTTATAGTATTATTAACATAATTGGTAATTTGTGGTTCTTTGGGATATGCGCATCTATCTCTGCACATTCCTATAGAGAGCATTTTTAAAGCAACCTCTGGAGAGCTCTCAAAGCTTTAACAATAGTAGATAACACAAGAAGAAGCTGAGTTTTGTTTTTTGTGAAGCTTTCTGAAGTTTGTGCTCTACAGGTCACAACTGTGGTTATTTCTATAATAAACCACTCGTGAGTTAGTGAGTCATGCTGCGAATGTCAGGGAGCTAAGCTCGTGAAGTCTGTTTTTTGCCAGTCACTAATACACGTAACAGAGCTCAGTTGCTGTGGAGGTGGGAAAACCTTCTCTGTGCTACAGCTCTCCAGGCAGTAAAACAGCCCTTCTCATGGGAGCCCTAGAAACTCTGTGGCCCCACATCATATTCAACATGCAGCTAAGCTTCATACTTGGTTGTATTAATTTTCCATGCTCACGGTAGTAAGTCCCTCTTGTTTATTCTCTGTCTCTTATTTTTTGTGTTTATCCCTCTATGCCTTCTAGTGCAGCTTTGTATCGGATACTGTAAATTATTTAGGAATTTTTTTTTCCTTTCTATGGCATCTCTCATTGACATTGCATTTCTCTATAGTATTGCAATGCCTGTAGCAGTGTGAAAGAGGAGGGTGGTAGCTAACCCAGATTATTATGGGTTTTCATTAAATCTTGTATTTGTTGCCTGGGATTAATAGAGGTTTTAATTTTCACTTTTGGAATTTCTTCTGATGGTTTGAATGATCATAAGAGATCTTAAAGCAGTTTCAGTCTCTGTCCTTTCCATGGAATAACTAAATAGTATTGTATATAGCCTGTAAATCAAGAATATGTAATAGTACCAACCTCCTTAGGAACATAAAACATATTTGATTTTCACATTTAACTGTAGATATTTGGAAGCAGCAAGGGAAACAGCAAATTAAAAAATAGTTCTGTATTTTCATATACCAGCAAAACAATATTGTGGTCATGGAACTTTTCTCTAAAATTATGGTCTCAAGGAAATAGTTAAGCAGTTGTTTACAAGACAATACCTTAGGTCTGTCAGATTTTATTGGACAGTGCAGAGAACCTGGCATGGGTACACTACTGGTATTTTATTGGGGAATCCTTCAAAGTATCTTCAAGTCTTTCTCTTAATTTTTCTTTTTTTTTACATGTATTTTGTTTGAAGACTTTTTGAAGGTAACTTTTTTCTCTATTTCAATAGCAGTTATATTTTTAAAGGTAGTGTAATATGTAAATCTTGCGAGGTGATTTGAGAGGCAGATCTTGAATTGACATAAGTTTCCACTATTTTGATGTAGTAGTTTGTGCTGTTACCTTTTGAACTAGGATGAATTCAGCAATGTTCTTGCTGGTACATCTTTGATTATAACTTTATCATCCTCACGCTGATTTTAATGAGCCTATGC